CGCAAAGAAATCGGTCCTCATTCATAGTGGGGACCAATGGATAAAAAACAATAACGACCTGTTTGACATCACTATGGGATCATTAGACTCTGCAGAGTCTTCTGACCTTGTTGGTCTTCTAATACTGTACAACTTAACGGCACACCGCGATATTGATATTAAGGACATCGGACTGTATAGAAATGACGGGCTCATGGTGGTGAGAAGTTCTACTAGTTTTAAAATTGAAAAAATCAGAAAAATTATATTTAGTGAATTTAAAAAAACTAAACTTAAAGATAATTGTCTCTTCTAATTTAAAAAGGGTTAACTTCCTGGACATAACTCTAGACTTACCAGGCAACACATACCAACCTTATAGTAAACCAAATGCTAACCCTTTATATATACACCCGAAGTCAAACCACCCTCCATCCATAATTAAACATATACCCTCATCAATAGAAAATAGAATTAGCATTAATTCTGCTAACAAGGAAATATTCCAACAACAAAATGGCTTCTATAACACTGCCCTAAAAAATAGTGGTTATAAAAATGCTAACATTAACTACAGAGAAAATTGCACTGGACATGGGAAAAAAACAGGAAAAGAAATATCATATGGTACACCCTCCGTTCAACCAAAGGGTTAGTATTAAACTAGGACAGAAATTCTTAGCTCTAATTAATAAACACTTCCCCCACCAATAGTAAGCTTAGTAATATATTCAATAAGAACACCCTAAAATTGAGCTACAGCTGCTCTGATAATCTTGAAACATAATAAAAAACACAATAATAAGATCTTGAACAAACCCCCATGCCTAAACAGTATTAATAAAAAACCCCTGCACTTAAATCAGACAATAAAGGGAAAAATTATGTAACTGTAGAAACCTAGAAGACTGCCCATTAGAAAATAAATGCTGCATTAAATCTGTGGTATACCAATGTACTATATCATCCACTGAGAGGCCCCAGCACTAATAAGATATACATTGGGTCCACGAAGAATGATTTTAAAGATAGATGGAGGCAGCATAAGTGCTCTTTCAATAATATAAACAAAAAGAAATCAGACTTCCCTATCTAAATATTTTTTGGCATCTGAAGGAAACAAATAGGACACCTAAAGTTAAATGGAAAAATTATAAACAAGGCTAGAACATGTAAAACTTGGGATGACCCATGCCCTTTGTGCCTCCATGAGAAATTGCACATTATTAAGCTTCTAAATAATAATAATCTATTAAACAATAGACACGAGTTAACGGTTTTTTTGTAGGCATCATCAGATTTTGGTTTGAATTATTAGCTAAAAACAAGCATACAATATAATAACTTGTTTAGTCCATGGCCCAATCATCAGATTCATGGTTTGAATAATTAACTAAAAACATGCATACAATATAATAACAATCCATAGCCCAAATAAATAGTTTAAATACCCTAAAAAAGATAACCCTTTATGAAGATGTCAAAAAACAAACGTTACGACAGTTTTTTATATGCACAAATCCTTTTCATAAAAATAAAATAAAAAAATAAATAAATCTCCATAGACACAAACTAAACTAGACGTCTTCCCTTTCAAATTTAGACACCCCCACCTTTCCCTGACTTGACATCTTTGAAAGTAACTCTATACTGATACTTATTATTAACACCCAAACACGCCTACCCAATTTAAACAATTCGCCCTAGCTGTTAACATGGAAATTTTGATTTCAATTTTTAAAACACGTAAATTTCAGAAATACGTTATTCAAAAAAAAAAAAAATTTCGCTTGAAGATGGAACAGAGCTTACTTTAACTCAATTTAATTCAAATAATTATATTGAAGTTTTCAGCTCTTGTTTTGAAATATGAGATTTCTTATGTCGCGATCTGGAATCATATTTTTTAAATAAATAATTATATATATCTATATATATCTATATATATATATATATATATATATATATATATATATATATATATATATATATATATATATATATATATATATCAATCAATATCAATATACTATTTGCTGTGATGAATTTCTTCTTTCATCTTGATTAACGCACATTACACCAATGGAACCATTTTATCTTTTGCTGTTTAGTAGGAAGCTTCCATCCTATTCCCATGTAGCCTAAGAGAAAATAGTTTGGGGCCATCCTTCATTTCTAAAAAAAATAAAATAAAATGTAGTATTTTTGCATTTCTTATCAAAGGATAAAATTTAAATAACTTCAGTGTATTTACTTTTATTTTTCTGTTTGTCTCCAGTTTCCTTTTACTACCAAAAAATCAAACTTGGATTCATCTGTCCACAATACATTTTGCTAAATTATGAATATTTTCATGAGAAGCATTATATTTCGTTTTTACCATTGTTCCCTAAATAGAGCTTTTGAGTTTACTAAAATGTTCAACTAAATTAAATGTTAATACAGGTTCAAAATGTTAACTAAGCACTGATTAATTTTGTAAACAAATCCTATGTAGCTGTCATTGAAGAAAAAGGATTGTGCCATTATGACAGTAATTACATAGGTTTTTATTTATTTACTTGTTAATCTTGAAATAAAATGGCAAAACTAAAGCATAAGGGGAGAACACAAATTAAAATTTTATTCAAAGAAGAATACTCTGAAAGGCAAATTGGCAAGAATTTGAAGAATTCTAGATATGTGGTGCAATATTTGTTATAAAGGCTGTTAGAAAGAAGGGTAAATATTAACAGAAGAACAGTTGGGTCGTCATCTGTTTACCACTTGATTATAGAGCGTAAAAGAAATAGAAGGACAACTGCTACAGAGTTGATAGCTGTACTTAATTCCTCCCGACAGTAACTAGTGTCGCTCTCAACTAACTTAGATCATCGGGGCTTAGGATATTTATAGACATCAAGAAACTCTTGTTACGGAAGTTAAATAAGCAGAAAATAGTGTTACAGGAAAAAAAAAAAGTATGAGGACTGGTCATTGAAAGTCGCAAAATGTATTATGGAGAAACGAGTTCAAATTTGAATATTTTAGTAGTAAGTGGAGAGTATATGTGAGAAGAAAGACAGAATTATGAATGAGTGATTCCAACAGTTAAGCATTGGTCTGTTTGCGTGTGGAGTGTTTTAGGGTAGAGAAGGCTGGAGATTTGATTCAGGCCAAAGGAATCATGTAAAAAGAATAATATCATTCGATTTTGCAAAGACATTCTATACAAACCGGAAAAATCACCTTTTAACATGACAATGATTTAAAACATTCTTCTAAATTATGTCAAAATTGCCTATATCAAAATTGGGAAATTATGAATTGGCCCCCTCAGCCTCCCATTGAATGAGTATGGGATGAATAGGATAGGAGTGTTTGAAGAGAATATCCAGTGTGAGTAAGCTTTTCAGTGCTTGAAGAATGTTTGGGAACGTATGCCATCTACTGTTTTCAAATGTTTGGAAAGAATGCCACGAATTTGTAAAGCAGTAATTAAGGCAGGTGGTAGTTTTATTGACAAAAAAAAAAACAAAATATTATTCTGTTGTATGATTATTTTTATAGTTTTCAAAATAAAAGCAAATAAACAGTAGTTATTGAAATTTTATCTTACATTTTGCCATTCTTTCAGTGTCGAGTTCTTATGCTTTTTGCCCGTAACAGTCTTCTCTTTTAAGTATAATGGACGTGTAAGGATGTTTTGAGGAAGAGTGGCCTAGAGATTTGATTCAGATCTAGGGAATCAAAAAAAAAAAAAAAGACGATATCATTCGATTTTGCAAAGACATTCTATACCATCGGGTTTAGGCATATTTGGAAAAACATTCTTTTCAACAAGACAACGATTCAAAACAATCTTATGAATTATGGCAAAATGACCCTCGAGAAAAAAAAGAAAAGGAATAAGATTTTGGAAATTATGATTTGACCATTTCAGTTTCCAGACCTCTCTCCCATTGAATTAGCATAAGAGAGTTTAAAGAGAATAAGAAGAGGGAATGAGCTTTTTCAGTGCTTGAAGAATGTTTGGGAAGATCTTCCATCTCCTTTTTCTCAAAAACTGTCAGAAAGAGTCCCAAGAATTTGTCAAGTAGTAATTAATGCAGATGGTGGTTTTATTGACGAAAACAAAATATGATGCTGTTGTATGATAATTTTTATAGTTAAGTGTTTATTTTTGTCAGAATTAAAGCAAATATACTGTAATTAGTGAAACTATCTTCAGCTGAAAAACTACAAAAATATCTCATTTTAAGGTATTTTTTAAAGAAATGCAGGATAACCACAAACTTTTTGCCTGTAGTGTATAAACTAAATCATGAATGCACAATAATTTGCGGTGATTGGCGAGAATTGATCCTCAGAAAAGTACGAATATATATTCGCGAATGTCTGAATTTAAGAACTCCACGACCTTTGACATTTTGTAAAAGCTGTGACTTCCGCTTCTTCCTCTATTTGACCTTTTTACAAAAATCTATTTTTTTTATCGATGCAGGATTTAGAAACTGAAAATTAAGTACTAGAGGCCTTCTTTCTTGCATACATAACGTTGAATATTACATGCACTTTTGACTAGTTTAATTTTTATTATATATATATTTGTGTGTGTCTGTATAGCAAAATGATTATATTTCAGTATATATATATATATATATATATATATATATATATATATATATATATAAATACATGAAACATATTTATAATAAAGACAAACATACACACACACACACACACACATACATACATATATATATATATATATATATTTATATATAAGACTTATTATAAATACAACACACACACACACACACACATACATACATATATATATATATATATATATATATATATATATATATATATATATGTATGTATGTGTGTGTGTGTGTGTGTGTATGTTTGTCTTATTATAAATATGTTTCATGTACAACTACATTATAATATATCGGAGTTAAAATACACACCAAAAGTATAAACACAAATAGGTCTGTAATATTATATTACACCTGCTTTGTCCCTTAAAAAGTTACCAAATTTCGGGATAGATAGATAGATAGATAGATAGATAGATAGATAGATAGATAGATAGATGAGAACAAACTGAGAAAGATTAATTGACAGTTAAACAGATATGAACAAACTGAGCTAGATAGATTAATACCGGTTGTGGAGGTAACATATTTGGGTGAATTGTCAGTGTCTCCATGTAGCAGTTAAAGGAAATTGTTTAACGGCGCTACGGTTATTATGTGGTATGTAATAATGCGGTGTTATTTGGCAGAAAGAGAAATGTCGAGAAAAATGGCGAATCAGGAAACAATAAGTAAAATTTCCATTCATGTCATTATTGAAAAAAATGAGATTTAATTGGAATTCGAACGCAGCATGACAATTCTGATTCTAAGATTGATAACTATTTCCACCTCTCTGTCTCAATGCAGAATAATCCATACACAAAAACGCGCACACACACACACACACACACACACAATACAGGGTGCGATGGATAAATTGTCGTAAAATGACACAAAAATGAAAAAAAACCCTACAGCTAAAAGATATATTTACCAAAATTACTCAAAATATACTGAAATACTAAAGATTAATTTTATTCAATAAAATCGCCATTGGCTTCAAGCACAGATTCCAGACAACTTCGGAATCTCCAGCATCTCTTCTAGGCGGTCTCCTTGTTTAAGTTAGCGAATGCTGCCATAATCCTTGCCTTTAGTACATCTTCGGTGTTACAAGGAATTTTGTTGGGCTAACGCTCATAATAATGAAGCGAGGGTGGAGGTGTCAGGCAGCCAGATTTAAGGGGTGAGGTGATAGCATAATAATGAAGCGAGGGTGGAGGTGTCAGGCAGCCAGATTTAAGGGGTGAGGTGATAGCATAATAATGAAGCGAGGGTGGAGGTGTCAGGCAGCCAGATTTAAGGGGTGAGGTGATAGCATAATAATGAAAGGGTTGAGGTGTCAGTCAGATTTAAGGGTTGAGGTGATAGCGGTGCCTGACAGTCATTACTGGGTTCTCCTGCTTGTGTGCCACGGTGCAGAGTCCTGTTAACAGACATAGGATCTTCCAGCAGCCACCCGCTTGACCCAGGGCAGCACTACCTCCTCATGGCACTTGATGTAGGCATCCGTGTTGAGTCTAAGGCCCTCAACAACAAATTCGAAACGATCACAGTGAGTTTTCAGAGCTGTTTTACCTTCGTAATCACCATTAGACTCTCCCGACGCTTTCCAAATATGCTGAACTGTTGACACCCAAACACTCTGAATTGGAGCTTTCGGTGCGAATGCCAAGCAGTAGAGCATGCCGTTTTTTAAATATCTGGTGAAGTGAATTACGTCATGGTGCTCTCTTTCTCCCAGACAGTGCCCAGCTGACCCTACTATACTGTGTAGTCGACAAAATCAAAACAAATCACGCACATGTGTGAAATTAAAAATATAAAATGGCGACAATTTACACATAGTGCCTTGTAGATTTAAAGTTCATAATAAAATTGAATAGTCTTCTTTTCTTATATTAGTGAAATCCAAAGATTTTCTCCAATTGAATTTCTTATTTTCTGTTCTATGGTGAAACATTCGATAATTTCCATGCCACGTGCTGTGATTAACATATTCGTGCTGTTGGGAAATTATTTCATAGAGAATCAAAATTCAAGAGAAAAAATATGCAAGAAGGAATAAAGACTTCGAAATTTACCATTTCTCTAGTCAGCAATAACTTTTTATTTTGTATTCTTCCTTTAATTTTGTTTTCACAAATACCTCTTCCTTCATGTCAGCATTATTTTCTTTCTGTCTTTGTTTTTTCAGTTTCTTTCTCCCAACGATTTATCCATTCACTGTATCTTCCCGCCATTTTGTATCTTCCGGCTGAGTAGTCTGTTTTTTTTTTTGTTTTTTTTTTGTCTTTCTTCTTATTCATCCTTTTTTATCTTTCCGTTTTATCTTTTTCTCTTTTCTTCTCTCTGTACTCTTTACTTTAATTCGTTCATATGCCTTTTATTCCTTAAATGGATTTCACTTTTCGTGTTATCTCTCATTGTAAGAAAACATTCACTTTCATTTTTTTTTATTTTATAGAATCCCATATGACTTCCCTGTTTATCTTACTTCAATGCGAAGGGAGAAGGGAGAAATAAACAAAAGGGGGAATCCATTTTGTTTATTTCTTCCTTCGCAGATTTCCGATCTAATTCATTCTTCTTACATTCGTTTTTCTTCTCTTCATTATTTTTCTTTCTATTTTTCTATCACTTCATATTGTTTCCCCCTCCCTTTTATTTCCTATTTACTTCTCTCTCTATGTTTCCTTATTTTCTCGCTTTCATTCTCTCTTTTCTCACGCTTCTAATCAATCGTCTTCTCTCGACATAATAACTAATCCTCATTGATAAAATTCAAATAAATGCAATTTTTAGGGAGTAAATAAAAGCTGTTTTGGACATTATGAAATATTTGTGGCATGTAAACTCCTTTTGAAATATTTTATTTAAGAACAATTTTACTGCATGAATTGTGATAAAAGCTGTTAAATGTGATTGTAAAAAGATTTTTCATGATTTATTTCGGAACGTATATTTACGATAAACTTAAAATAAATTCTGTTATAAAATTTAATATATATTTATGAATATTTTGTCTATCGAAATTTTTTCCTATATCAAAAGTTAATGAATGATTTTTGGCTAGATTTTTTTTTGTTAAATAAATGATTAACTATGTTTAATGATATTTCAAAAGACAATGGCGGAAAATATTAAATCATTTCTATCTGCTTCCAGATATGTATTAATTCTTGGTTCAGCTTGAACGAATCTTGTGTTTCTAACCTTATCACTCGGATAAAAGAAGCGTTATATTAAAATTGTGTTGTAATATACCGTAAATTACGGCGTACAAGTCGATCTCACAATTTTTAACTCGAAATTCTGTGTTATGCCTATACCTACCCTATAGTTCGATCCCCAAATATACGGTATGTTACCAGTGGCCCCAAATTTAAAACTACCGGGAAATATACAATATAAGTTAACCAGTGGCAAATCTACATAAGGTCACACCACTTACCTGTTTATTCAGACACTAAGCGTAATATCTTTCTATATGTGTTGTATAACAAACAACGTACAACACACATGGGTAGGTACTGTATATTGTATCTCTGTAACTTAGCGAACATTTAAAATTCGTCAGGTCTACTGAGAAACACATTAAAGTCAACATCAATTCTTACAAAATATTAATACCGTAGACTACACACCATACTAGGTAGTTATTTGACATTACTGCTACATCTGTTATTGTGATGTACAGTAATTTTTAGGAATGTTCTCCCACTTATTTACAACTAGTGGTAGAGATTTGCGTTTTACATAAGTCGTCCCCTAATTTCTTAAATATTTTTAGGCCCGAAAACTCGAATTGTACTCCGCAATTTGCAGTAAGCTAATTATACTTTCTTCTACATAATGTTCATACATCAAAATCATTTTGATTTCTGTATGCCATATTCATAAACAAGGCTAATACTAAAATAAAATATGTTTGACATGTGACCGGAAAAAATACAGAAGCTGAGGTGTATTGAACTCACAATTCCTATTCCACCAAATTCAAGAACAAAAGCTAAAATACTTAAGGAAATTGTCTCGTGGTTCATGAATTTTGTGGTAGAGGAATTGTGAGTTCAATTCTTGGGTTGTCTAGTACCTAACTAGACTCAGTGACAACAGGACTAAACAGCTAGACACCTACTAAGCAGTACTAAAAGAAAGAAAAGAACAAGATATCCTTAGAAAAGGAGAGTGGAAATCTTTGAAGGTTAACCCTGAGCAACATACATCTAAAGTAGATCAGAGAGTACGGAAACAACATAGGTTACGATATTAGTCCTAGTGTATAAAATGCATCAAGAAATTCATAAATAATTCAAACTTTGTTTGTAGATCGATTCGCTTCTTCCTATCTCGACAATTAGCAATTTTGCTAACTGCTGTTTCACAATCCTGGTTAAATCACACCACCTGTGTAATGATATTTTATCATTTTTTCTGTTAGAATTCTGGAATAATGTTAAACAAAGAGCAATCAAATTTAGTTAATAAAGGTAAAGCCGCTTTCGGTATACGTGATAAAAAAACCTACTACTGGAATGATAAAATATGAAAGAAAGCACACTTTAAGACGTGTATATATTAACGTACTAAAATGACTGAAATGGCCTAGATTATTGACCAAATTCCATATTGCACAGATTTCTTGATTGTTTTATTTTCATGTCTCAAACAAAAATGATTATTAAATAATTTTTCTTTCGTGTCTTTTGTCGACATAAACGATTTGCAGATTTAATATTTCTTAAAATACGTTTAACCTGCTTCACCTAACATTTACTCGTAGTAGCTGTCATTCATTTGCTTTTCCTTTCATTTACTATTTTGGATTTGTACTCTGGAGACATTCCCGCATATGACGGCTTCAATACGCAATATCTCATTGTCTTTTTATTATTATCTCTAGAATACTATGATATCGAATTGATTTCGCATTGCTCATAATTTGACCTTAGATATTTAATCCATAGCTGGAGGAAGAAGAGACGGGTTCTTACCTTTACCAAGGGCATATCTGTGGATTACCCTGATATTGCAGTAGTTTTGCATTACTTTCACCAAAGTTGGTAAACAAGTCTAGAGTGCCCACTTTACAATATTTAACCATAGTTGGAGGAAGAAGAGACGGGTTCATGCCTTTCTTCAAGCCATTTGTGAGAAAGGAAATTTAACAGACTAACCCGAAATTTGAACGCGGATTTCACATTCCACGCCGATACTGGGTACACTAAACGGACGTTCATATCTTTAATTTATGTCTGTATATACGTACATATATGTACATAATAATATATATGTATATTTTTGCACTGAATATATCAAAGTTATTAAGACTGATTAAAAAAATCTGCTTTAATTAACATTATTGCTCAAGTGCATTAGCAAATTGAATTCCCCATCTCTACGTTTAAACTAGAAGACAGACATCAATCTCTTGGAAATGGCAAAGAAAGAGAGCTACTTTCTTTTGTCTTGCAACAATATATAAATATATCAATTTTCTGAAGAGATATTTTTCATGATTTTGTCCTAATTATTTGTTAATAGCTTCGTGCTACAGTAAAAATAAATCTCTCCTAATTATACATGTTCGTTGTTTTCTCTTGACACGACAGGCACCGTCAGGATAACTGATGAATGAACTAAATTACTTTACATTCTTTTAGCGTATTGAACTTTGATGAATGATATTTGTCTATATTTCTGAGATTTCTAACTATTTACAATATTTTTCGGGCTGTTGTATTCATATTTATTGTCATGTTCACGACGTTTCGGACGCTGGAATTTCGAGCCGAACCATTTATTATGTTCACCGGGATAGATTGTTCCAGTTCCATGTGTCATGTCTTTTCTGGATAACTCAGTTTCAGTTATTTCCCTTTAGTAAATCAACTCTCCAAGGTTTTGTTCACCTCTGCTGGGTCAAGTTACTGAATTACTTCAACCAACGGTTTTATCTACTGGGCCATGTATCCTTGAGGGCATCAGTGAATAAATTTGGGGGACTTATAAACCTAAGTACCTGCCTTTTTTTACCGGAGCTTATATTACAATTTTTTGTTATTGTTGTTATTTTCTCGCACTCTGTTACTGGTTCCCATATTGTATTCATAGCCGGATTAGGAGAATATGACAATAAAGATGAGGACACAGTCCGAACAATGCAAATAATGTAAATAGTTGATAAATGAATTGCCATATAGATTTTTCCTTATACTGGAATCTAAATCTATTCAGTTCAGTATGGTCCTTTCTACGTTTAGTGCTGATAATAATTATCTCTTAATTTTCCTGTGACACGTGGTTTTTCCCAAAAGGCATGAGATCAGTATTTACACGCTTGAGTAATGTTGCGCCAGCTTGAGGGATTTCATATTTCACCTATAGTGCACTCACTGAACCTTTGTATTTCATTATACAACTGATGTATAGCTTCGGTTGAATACATTTCGGAACAGCAGTCGAGGCTTAAATGCAGCATAATATATGTAAATGTCTTCGTGATTAAATTTTTAAACATACGAATATGTAATTAATCATTTACAAATGAATATTGGAACGTTTTCATGGTATTGACTTTGTGAAGTGGGTGGAGGTGAGAACTTTTCCTCATATCATAGATTTCAATGACGAATCGAAGAAAAAGTAATAGAATATTTTACAAAACTGCTTGGATTTCTGTTACACTAAAAATAAATATATTGCGAGACACATATTAATATCAAGCATAATGTGATACATACATTTGTAGTAATTTCATCAATTCAGCAATTTGATATTTTTTTAAATGAAAATATCTTTAGGAAAATCAAAGAAATTTAGTCATTCATATCAGGTTAGGATTGTTTATTAAATTCTCATTGTTTGCCGTCAGCGATACTTGACGTTGACATCAGTAGTGAGAATGCTAAAATAAGTTTCTAATGTGTTTGAGTTCGAAAGACAACAACATGGATGCTTCTGCTAAAGTTTTGATTCAATTATTTTCATTATTTCTTTTTGTTTAACTTTTTTTCTCTATGGCGAGTAAGTCTACGACTGAATATTCTTGAACCATTTTATTTTGTTTCTATCATTTTCCTATATGAGAATGCTTTTGAGGTCAGTTTAGTTCTTCTTCATTGTTTGATTCCTTTGCAAAATGCCTCGCTAAATGCCAATATAAGCCCTACATCTTGGACAGACACTTTTTGTGTCAAATCATTGCTTCTCTTGAGCCTGGAAAAAAAATCAAATATATTAAAAGTTTGTTAAATGTACCACTAAATTATTTTGACATTTTTGTAAGCAAAAGTCATATGAACATTAAAAAGATTAAGCTAAAACAGATAGAGACTACACTGCATATTATTATTATATATATGGAAACAAGTAGC